CAACCAATACCAAAGAAATACAAACAATTATAAGAACATATTATGAGCAAACCTATGTCAGCAAATTAGATAACCTGGAAGAAATGGATGCATTCCTAGAGATGTATCGACTACCAAAACTGAACCAGGAAGAAATAGAAAACCTGAACAGACCTATAACCACTAAGGAAATTGAAGCAATCATCAAAAATCTCTCAACAAACAAAAGCCTAGGGCCAGATGGCTTCCTAAGGGAATTCTACCAAACATTTCTAAAAGAATGAATACCTATTCTTCTGAAAGTGTTCCAAAATACAGAAATGGAAGGAAAACTTCTAAACTCATTTTATGAGGCCACCATTACCTTGATCCCCAAACCAAAGACCCCATCCAAAAGGAGAACTACAGACCAATATCCCTGATAAACATGGATGCAAAAATTCTCACCAAAATACTAGCCAATAGGATCCAACAGTACATTAAAAGGATTATTCACCATGACCAAGTGGGATTTATCCCTGGGCTGCAAGGTTGGTTCAATATCCGCAAATCAATCAACGTGATACAATACATTAACAAAAGAAAGAACAAGAATCATATGATCCTCTCAACAGATGCAGAAGAAGTATTTGACAAAGTATAGTATCCTTTCTTGATCAAAACTCTTCAGAGTATAGGCATAGAGGGTACATACCTCAATATCATAAAAGCCATGTATGAAAAACCTACAGCAAATATCATTCCCAATGGGGAAAAACTCAGAGGTTTCCCCCTAAGGTCAGGAACGCGGCAGGGATGTCCACTATCACCACTGCTATTCAACATAGTATTGGAAGTCCTAGCCACAGCAATCAGACAACAAAAAGAAATCAAAGGCATCCAAATCGGCAAGGAAGAAGTCAATCTCTCACTCTTTGCAGATGATATGATACTTTATGTGGAAAACCCAAAAGACTCCACCCCACAGGTGCTAGAACTCATACAGGAATTCAGTAAAGTTGCTGGATATAAAATCAATGCACAGAAGTCAGTGGCATTTTTATACACCAACAACAAGACAGAAGAAAGAGACATTAAGGAGTCGATCCCATTTACAATTACACCCAAAACCATAAGATACCTAGGCATAAATCTAACGAAAGAGGCAAAGGATCTGTACTAAGAAAACTATAAAATATTCATGAAAGAAATTGAGGAAGACACAAAGAAATGGAAAAACGTTCCATGCCCATGGATTGGAAGAACAAATATTGTGAAGATGTCAATGCTACCTAGAGTAATCTACACATTCAATGCAATCCCCATCAAAATACCATCCACTTTTTTTCAAAGAAATGGAACAAATAATCCTAAAATTTGTATTGAATCAGAAAAGACCCCGAATAGCCAGAGGAATGTTGAAAAAGAAAAGCAAAGCTGGTGGCATCACAGTTCCGGACTTCCAGCTCTATTACAAAACTGTCATCATCCATACAGTATGGTACTGGCACAAAAACAGACACATAGATCAATGGAACAGAATAGAGACCCCAGAAATGGACCCTCAACTCTATGGGCAACTCATCTTTGACAAAGCAGGAAAGAATGTCCAATGGAACAAAGACAGTCTCTTCAACAAATGGTGTTGGGAAATTTGGATAGCCACATGGAGAAGAATGAAACTGGACCATTTCCTTACACCACACACAAAAATAGACTCCAAATGGTTGAAAGACCTCAATGTGAGACAGGAGTCCATCAAAATCCTAATGGAGAACACAGGCAGCAACCTTTTCGACCTCAGCCGCAGCAACTTCTTCCTAGAAACATCGCCAAAGGCAAGGGAAGCAAGGGCAAAAATGAACTATTGGGACTTCATCAAGATAAAAAGCTTTTGCAAAGCAAAGGAAACAGTCAACAAAACCAAAAGACAACCGACAGAATGGGAGAAGATATTTGCAAATGATATATCAGATAAAGGGTTAGTATGCAATATGTATAAAGAACTTATCAAACTCAACACCCAAAGAACAAAGAATCCAATCAAGAAATGGGCAGAAGACATGAACAGACATTTTTCCAAAGAAGACATCCAAATGGCCAACAGACACATGAAAAAGAGCTCAACGTCACTCGGTATCAGGGAAATTCAAATCAAAACCTCAGTGAGATACCACCTCACACCAGTCAGAATGGCTGAAATTAACAAGTCAGGAAATGACAGATGTTGGCGGGGATGCGGAGAAAGGGGAACCTCCTACACTGTTGGTGGGAATGCAAGCTGGTGCAGCCACTCTGGAAAACAGTATGGAGGTTCCTCAAAAAGTTGAAAATAGAGCTACCGTATGATCCAGCCATTGCACTACTGGGTATTTACCCCAAAGATACAAAAGTAGGGATCTGAAAGGGTACGTGCACCCCGATGTTTATAGCAGTAATGTCCACAATAGCCAAACTATGGAAGGAGCCAAGATGTGCATCGACAGATGAATGGATAAAGAAGATGTGGTATATATATACACAATGGAATATTATGCAGCCATCAAAAGGAATGAGATCTTGCCATTTGCAACGACGTGGATGGAACTGGAGGGTATTATGCTGAACGAAATAAGTCAAACAGAGAAAGACATGTATCATATGACCTCACGGATAGGAGGAATTCTTAATCTCAGGAAAGAAACTGAGGGTTGCTGGAGTGGGGGGTGGGGTGGGAGGGATGGGGTGACTGGGTGAGAGACACTGGGGAGGGTATGTGTTCTGGTAAGCGCTGTGAATTGTGCAAGACTGTTGAATCTCAGATATGTACCTTTGAAACAAATAATGCAATATATATTAAGTAAAAGAAAAAGAAGAAGAAGATAGCAGGAGGGGAACAATGAATGGGGGGAAATTAGAGGGGTAGACGAACCATGAGAGATGATGGACTCTGAAAAACAAACTGAGGGTTCTAGAGGGGAGGGCAGTGGGAGGATGGGTTAGCCTGATGATGGGTATTGAGGAGGGCACATTTGGCATGGAGCACTGGTTATGCACAAAGAATGAATCATGGAATACTACATCTGAAACTAATGATGTAATGTTTGGGGATTATCATAACAATAAAAAAAAAATGAAAAAAAAATAATTGGATAAGAAAATAGGGAGGAAGAACAAAAATCCAGCACTTGACCTGCCTGTCTGAGCTGTACTTCAGGTGACTGAAGTTGTCTTTTTTATTATATAGAAAATTCCAGATAATAATATATACAGATGAATGATAGATGTAGGGTGCCACAATTTTGTAACTCCTGTTGAAATAATGGCCATGACTATAAATATCAATAGCAGCTAAAACCATTAGGATAGCATTATAATGAATGGTCCACGCTGAGGGAAACTGAAACTACTGATCAATCTTAACATCACAAAAGAGACAGAATTTAAATCACATGTCTCCTAATGACCTGAAACAAACTGCAATATCTAGGAAGAATTTTTGACCAACAGAAAGTCTGATTCTGATCAAGGCTTCAAATTTAACTACTGGTTTAGAAAAAATACAGGGGACCGAGTCACATGCTAACACTATGGTGGTAGAAATGGCAAAATTCAGAGTTTGAGACATTCTATAATACAGATAATGTTTTTTTTTTTCTTTTATTATTTTATTTATTTAAAAGATTTTTACTTATTTGAGACAGAGCATGTGAGTGTGCGCAGGAGCAGGGGAGGGGAGGGGCGGAGGGAGAGGGAGAAGCAAGCTCTCTGCTGAGCAGGGAGCCAGATGTGGGGCTCGATCCTGGGACCCTGGCAGGTCCCTCCTGCTCATGACCCGAGCAGAAGGCAGAAGCCTAACTGACTGAGCCACCCAGGTGCCCCCAGATAATGTTTTTTAAATATATGTATGTATACCTTGTTTAGCTCTTGATTTGATAAAAACATTTAGGAGATAATTGGGGCATTTTCAATATTGAATAAATATTTGATGATATTAAGAAACTATTGCTAAATTTTTTTTAGATATGAAAACGATCTTTCAGATGTTAAAAATAAAAAAGTCCTTATCATTTAGAGATACAGATTAAAAATATTTATAAATGAAATGATACAATGTTTTGGATTTCAAATTGTCTGGGGCAGGACGGGCTTGTCGATGGTTTTACCAACGAAATAAGATAGGCCACATATTGATAATTGTTGAAGCTAAGTGATAATTAAAAGTAGAGTAGTATAGGGGCACCTGGGTGGCTCAATCGGGTAGGTGACTGCCTTTGGCTCAGGTCATGATCCTGGAGTCCTGGGATCGAGTCCCATATCGGGCTCCCTGCTCGGCAGGGAGTCTGCTCCTCCCTCTGACCCTCCCCTGTTTCATGCTCTCTCTCTCAAATAAATAAAATAAAAAATCTTAAAAAACAAGTAGAATAGTGTATCATATATGAGATACTATTCTACTTTTCTATGTTTAGAATTTTCCATAGTAAAAAGTTGTAAAAAGCCTTTGAAAATTTTAAATTATAAGCTAAATATTTTTCTTACAATTAAATTTATAGTATTTATTAGTCAATAATTTTTAAATGGAAAGGGAAAGAAACATCAGGCAACTGGTGTCTAAATTATCATCAATCCGTAAGTGGAGAATCCAAATTTTGATGTGGTTAACAAACAACAAAAGCAACTAAAGGTTTATTTATTATATACAGTACTTTATTTTTTTTTTAAAGATTTTATTTGAGAGAGAGAGAGAGAGAGAGAGAGAGAGAATAGGGGGAGGGCCAGAGGGAGAAGAAGGCTCCCAGGGAGCCAGACTTGGGGCTCAATTCCAGGACTCTGGGATCATGACCTGAGCCTAAGGCAGACAACTTAACTGGCTGAGCCACTGAGGAGCCCCTATAGCCAGTACTTTTAATGTGTATCTAAGATCACTGATTTCCTTATAATCTTTTAACATTTTGGTTTTAACATTCAATTCAATAGGAAATGATTACTAAGAAAAGAATAAATAAAATCTTGTAATTCTTTGGCAGTTCAAAAGAAATATTTTACATTTTTGTGCAACTTACCTGCTGTAAAATCTGTAGTCAGATCAATAAACGCGTGCGAATGTGGAATTCGCATTTTATTTTTCGTGGTCAATGCAGGATGCCATGATAAATTCCTAAAAAAAAAAAAAAATTTCTAAGGCAAATATCAAATAAGCAGTTTTAAAACAGAAAAATCTCTGCCTGCAAGATATTTTTAAAATTTATTGATTTTTGTTGAGATACTTCTCATATCATAAAATTCACTCTTTTAGAGTAGACAATTTAATGCTTTTTAGCACAGTCACAGTTTGCAACCATCAGCATTATCGATGGAAAAGATTTCTTTACTTTAAAAAGAAACCCTGTATCCATTATTTACTTCTCCCTTCCCTCTAGCCCTTGGCAACTACTAATTTGCTTTCTATCACTATGGATTTCCCTATTCATATAAATGGAATCACACAATATATGTCCTTTTATGTCTGTGTTTTTTCACTTAGAATTTCAGGTTCATCCGTGTTGTAGCATGTGTCAGTACTTCAGTCCTTTTAATGGCTGAGTAATATTTCACTGTGTGGCTATACCTTTTGTTTATTCATTTATCTGTTGATGGACATTTGGCTTGTTTCCACTCTTGGCTATTATAAATAATGGTGCTTTGAATATTCATGTATAAGCTTTTATGTGGACATATGTTTTCAGTTCTTTTGGGTATATATCTCAGAATTGGTGGGTCACATGGTAACTGTGTATTTATCTTTCTGAGGAACTGTCAAACTATATTCTAAAGTGGCTTCACCATATTATGTTCTTAACTAGCAATGTCAGAGGGTTCCAACATCTCCATTTCTTTGTCAACACTTACTATTTATTGTCCCTTTGTTTTATTATAGTTATCCTAAAGGGTGTGTGTCTTATGGTTTTGACTTGTATTTTCCCAATGGCTAATGATGTTGAGTATGTGTTAAGTATTTATTGGCCATTTGTATATCTTTGGAGAAATGTCCACTCAAATCCTTAGTCTACCTTTAAGTTAGATTATTAAATATAATGTTTTATTTTTGAGTTGTAAAAGTTGTAAAAGTTCTGCACATTGGCTTTTCACTTTCTTGACAGTGTCCTGTGATGTACAGAAGTTTTTAATTTTCATGAATCCTTTTCATTTATTTTTTTTGTTGTTTGTTCTTATGCAGTCATATCTAAGAATCCATTTCAGAATCCAAGTTTATATAGATTTACCCATATGCTTTCTCCTGAGAATTTTATAGCTTTAGCTCTTATATTTTTCTTCGATTCTTTTTTTAAGTATAAAACAAAATGATTTAATATTATCATAGATGTTTTTTCCAAGACAATGAAGAATGATATGATTATCTCTTATGAATATTAATTCCAACACCTTGAGCTAAAGAAAAGAATAAATTTGGAATCTTATCTCAAACCATATATCAAAAATTAACTAAAAATGGATCAAGGGGCTAAAACTATAAAACTCTTGAATGAAAACATATGGGAAAATCTTCATGACCTTGGATTTGGAAATGGATTTTTAGATATAACACCAACAGAATATTCAGCAAAAGAAGAAACAGATGAATTAGATTCATCAAATGAAAAACTTTTGTACATCACAGGATACTATCAAGGAATTGAAAAGACAATTCCATAGAATGGGAAAAAATACTTGCAAATATCTTATCTCTGATAAAGGTCTAGTAGCTATGTACAAAACCTTTACAATTCAACAATAAAAATAACCTAATTAAAAAATGGGCAAAGGGGGCGCTTGGGTGGCTCAGTCATTAAGCGTCTGCCTTCGGTTCAGGTCATGGTCCCAGGGTCCAGGGATCGAGCCCCACATCTGGCTCCCTGCTCAGCGAGAAACCTGCTTCTCCCTCTTCCTCTCCCCCTGCTTATGTTCCTGCTCTCCCTCTCTCTGTCAAATAAATAAATAAAATCTTAAAAAAAAAAATGGGCAAAGGACTAGATATTTCTCCTAAGAACATACACAAATGGCTCTAGCACATCAAAAGATGCTCAACATTGTTAGTCATTAAGGAATTATAAAAGAAGACCATAATGAGAAACCACTTCACAACCACTAGGATGGCAATAATCAAAAGCCAAAAAATTTTAAGTGTTGGGGAGGAAGTGAAGAAGTTTTGTACACTGCTTCTGGGAGTATAAAATGGTGTGTTGGTTGTGGAAAATAGTTTGGCAGTTCTTCAAAAAGTTGAACAAAGAATTACCACATGACCCTGCATTTCTATACTTAGGTATATACCCCAAACAACTGAAAACAGGTATTTAAACAAATACTTGTATACGAATACTCTTAGCACTATTCACAATAGCCAAAAACTGGAAATAACCCAAATGTTCACCAATGGATGAATGGATAAACAAAATGCCATTCATACAATAAAAATATTTTACAGCCAAAACCAAAAATCCCCTGAAGTACTGATACATGGTACAACATGGATGAACCCTTAAAACATTACACTATGTGAAAGAGGCCAGACAAAAAAGGTCACATCCTATATGATTTCATTTAGATGAAATACCAATAATAGGCAAATCCATAAAGAGAGAAAGCCGATTAGCAGGTGCCAAAGGGAAAATTATGATTGTTTAATCGGTACAGGGTTCCCTTTAGAAATGATGAAAAGCTATTGGAAGTAGGTGACAGTTGTAAAACATTGTGAATATACTAAATATCATTGAATGGTACACTTCACATGGCTAGTTCTATGTAATGTAAATTTTATTTCATTATAAAAAACAATCATGTAAAGTTTTCATATATCCCTCATTCAGTTTCCCCTAATGTCAACATCTAATATAGCCACAGTACAATTGTCAAAACCAGGAAGGTCACACTGGTAGACTATTATAACTATAGAAGAAAGAGCAAATTTAAGTAAAACAATTTCTCAATTCCTTATCAATAGAACACATTCCATTTTCAAAGTCATTCTCATTTATCAAGGCCCTACTTTGCTTTTCTTACTGGTATCTGAGTACACTTTTCTCTACTAATAGCACTTTTTAAGATGTAAGCTCCTCTGAGGGACCCATGGGGGACTCAAAAGGTTAAGCATTCGACTCTTGATTTTGGCTCTGGTCATGATCTCAGGGTCATGGGATTCTCTCTCCCCCTTTTCATGTGCCACTCCCATGTTTGGGCACTCTCAAAAAAAAAAAAAAAAAAAGATGTAAGCTCCTCTGGATACCCTGATTCATAGATATTTCTATCTACATCACCTAACCAGGACATGGCTCCCAAACAGTCACTGAAATGAATCATGGTCTAATCAGAAAATACTTGCTGGACTGCATCATAGTATCAAGTAGCATTTCCTATTCTCTACCTCTAGTGAGAACATGCTATTTTTTTCACAATACTAGGTTCCAGTGAAATATGGAAGCGTAGATATGTCATCTCCAAAGAGAAATTTAAGGCTAATTAATAAGTACAACTTAATTATCAATATATCATCTAAGTGACTGGGTAGCAAACAAGATTTGAACTTGGTTTTAATGTGTTGGGACAGCAGAGAGAAACAGTTGACTAATTTGGCAGGTGGAGTCTGGGAAAAAGAATAAGCATTAATTAGGAGAAAATTTTCCCTACACAAAGGGTCCATGCTGTACAAACAGTTAACTTCTTCCCAATATCCTTATACACACTTTTTAGCACATAGTAGGCCTCATCTGTTGCCTCAACGAGACAGTAAAAACAAAACTAAGCAATGTTCATATAATCCTGTTTCATTATTTTAACCAAAATCCCATAATATAAGGTATTAATAAAATAAAATGCAATAAAATACTAAAGTGAGAAACTGGATTCAGCATTCGGTGTAAGGTAATTCAATGCAAAGCATTCATATCATGTTTTTCTTTCATACTACACAAGGTTAGAAATGCCTAAAATAATTTCAATCAAGTCCAATTTAGTGAGGCCAGTTCACTTCTTTTTAAGATAGACCATTTATTCACAGGTTCTTTAAATTTTGAGCATTAAAGTATTTTTAATTACTAACAAAATAATCAGACGTAGGCTAGAGAGATTATACGACAAGTTTAACCCAAAGTCATTTCAGAAGCATTTCCTAATGTTCCCAAGAAATTTGTAATTATAGGCCAAAAGTGAATTAAAAAATAAAAGCTTCTACAGAATTGAGCTCAGTGAGGTTAATCATGTGGTTGCCTTTAATTACTACCTGAGAAATTATTGATCTCATTCCCTAAAGAAATTTTTTATAAGTTTGCTCTGAAATAAGTTATAGTTGAATTCTGGAAAACTTCAAAAAACTCCTAGAAACTACTTGACAAAAATGTACATTTCAAATAAAGAATTTAGAAGAGCAATAAAGCAAAAATGATAAAGTGGCAGACTATGGGCCAAATTCAGCACGAAGATGTGTTTTATTTGGCTCATACACTGTTTTAAATACTTTTAATTCCTTGGTAAAACTTAAATAAAAAATCAGATTTCACATAAAAATCTGATTTCCAGATTGAAATTGAAATTGAAATACCAGGTCTGTTAACCAACTGGCTCTTTTCAGACAGAGTTATAGTCCCTATAGGCAGCCAAAGTCCCCACCTTTCCAAAGTGCTTCACTCTTTGGTTTCCTTCTGGGTCCCTTTAGACATTTGAATTTGCAACTCCTAACAAAATATTAATTATAATCTTCCTTTCCAGAATATTTCAAATCAATATTCAAGGTCTTCACAGTATTTTAAGTTTTACACTTGTTGCCTACACTCTGTTAATTTACAGTAATGTCTTTCAAAAAGCAGTCAACTGATCCTTATACTTTATAGTGGGGGGAGAAGGGAAGAGCTATTATTTCTTTTTGTGATGCATTTTAAGATGGTTGAAAATTAAATGTACATATAGTTGTATATCAAAATTCAATTGTTTAAAAATTTAAAGTTGAAAATAAAACTTATTTCTCCTCTACCTTTACTGTTGTTCTTTGTACACATCAGTTTTTCAATAAGAAGCAACAGACACCATCTTTATAAGCAAGTATATTCCTATAAACTATAATCTTCTCATATACATGCTCAACTCCATTTGAAGGCCAAGGTCACAAATTGTTCTGAATTCAAAGGAAGA